ATTTGCTTGGAAACAAATCCCAAGAGATTCAGTAGGGTATACTCTCAAGTAAATATGTAGGACTAGATTTTTACTGACATTTAATGGTCATTCGATCTATTACACCAGGGTGAAAATCACGTCCCTCCAAATGTTAGATTGCAAGTCCCAGCAGGGGCAGCTAATGGCAAGGAATGTTGGATCAATAATAAGGATTGCTATTCTGGCCGTTGAGAACAATGGCAGTAAATGAAAACTGGGAATGATGCAGAGTCTACTGAATGTTATTGGATTGTAGTTTCGCGTAATGAGGGGCGGATCTAGACAGTCTCTTTAATGCAGAAACTTCCGCAATAGAAAGGGGGTTGTCCAGATGATGTTCTGGACAAGTCGGAATTAATCTGCCACAAACCAGGAAAATCCTGGTTTGTGGCAAATTAATTTGATAGTGTGCTTATTCCATGCCTTTTTGGAAGGTGTGGGATAAATCCACTACTGTCTGGATTACAGTCCAGACAGTATTCCCGCAGAAAAGAACTCACCTGGGCTGGATAAGTTCTTTTCTTTTCACTGTGTTTTGGGGACTTCAGGGTAGGGGGTTACAGTGTCCTGATGTTCTACTGGGAAATCCCGGTAGAACATCTGGACACCCACCCCAGGAAGTGCGTGCTTTCTGGGCTGAGTGTAAATGGGCCCCCAGGAAGATCTGCGTTTTTTAAACACAGATTCACCTGGAATAAGGCCTGTCTGGAACCGCCCTAGCAAACACAAACAGTAGTGAGGAATGCTTGGAGATGCAATCCAACAACAGCTGCTTCGTGACAAAGTAAACAAGTATTTGTCTTATTTTACAGAAAGCTGCAGTCAATCCTAGTCCTCTGGTGTATTATACACATAGACACAGGTTCGCAGCTTGGAAGTGATCCTGGATTCATTGCTGAGCCTGGAACCCCAGGTTTCGGTGGTGGCCAGGGGAGATTTTGCACAGTTAAACCTTTTGTGATCTGGCTATGTTGGTCCATGCTCGTTTCATCCCAAATAGATTACTGCAATGCACTCTACTGGGGCTGCCTTTGAAGACTGTTCGGAAATTACAACTAGTCCAACGGGCGGCAGCCAGATTGCTAACTGGAGCGACACACAGGGAGCATACCACTCACTTGTTGTGCCAGCTCCACTGGCTGCCGGTTCACTTGTGAGCTCAATTCAAAGTGCTGGTTTTGACCTATAAAGCCCTATACGGTTCTGGCCCAGCTTACATGTCTGAACACATCTCCCTCTACGTCCCGCCTCACAGTTTAAGATCATCCGAGAAGGCACTGCTCATGCTCCGCCAGCGTCACAAATACGTCTGGCGGGGACGAGAGACAGGGCCTTCTCGGCTGTGGCCTCCCACCTATGCAACTCGCTTCCCACTGAGGTAAGATTGGCTCCGTCCCTCCTGTCATTTAGGAAGAAATTGAAGTCGTGGTTCTGGGACCAGGCTTTTGGATAACAGACATAGATAGCACTTTGGACATGGAATTGGATATGGAATTGACTGGAATGATTTATTTATTTATTTATCATGTCAGGAGCAGACCGAACAGTTGCGTTGCATTTTATAACAAACAAACAAACAAACAGACAGACAGACAAAACACAAAGTTTGCAAGCTTGGTAGTTGATTAAATATCCTTTGACCAATATCTGGCCACTTGGAGTGCCTCTGGTGTTGCTGCAAGAAGGTCCTCCATTGTGCATGTGGCAGGGCTCAGGTTGCATTGCAGCAGGTGGTCAGTGGTTTGCTCTTCTCCACACTCGCATGTCGTGGATTCCACTTGTAGCCCCATTTCTGAAGGTTGGCTCTGCATCTCGTGGTGCCAGAGCGCAGTCTGTTCAGCGCCTTCCAAGTCACCCAGTCTTCTGTGTGCCCAGGGGGGAGTCTCTCATTTGGTATCAGCCATTGATTGAGGTTCTGGGTTTGAGCCTGCCACTTTTGGACTCTCGCTTGCTGAGGTGTTCCAGCGAGTGTCTCTGTAAATCTTAGAAAACTATTTCTTGATTTAAGTCATTGATGTGCTGGCTGATATCCAAACAGGGGATGAGCTGGAGATGTCACTGCCTTGGTCCTTTCACTATTGGTTGCTACTTCCCGGCGGATGTCAGGTGGTGCAATACCGGCTAAACAGTGTAATTTCTCCAGTGGTGTAGGGCGCAGACACCCCGTGATAATGCGGCATGTTTCATTAAGAGCCACATCTACTGTTCTACATGCAAATTTTTACATGATGATTTGCATAGAAAAGATTGTTTACTGTATAGGAAATAGTACTTTCTGCACAAAAGATTTTTCCTGCATTTAAAAACACTGTTTTCTCTGGGTTCCTGTGAGTTTTCCGGGCTGTATTGCCAGGCAGGAAACAATCAGGGCTAGCTAACACCTCCCAACAAAGGATTTCCCCAGGCAGGAAGCAGCCAGACTTAGAAGCTGCAAGGTCATTCAGCGCTAATCAAGGTTGCCAATTGCAACATTCACACTTGCCTCAAACAGACAAGAGTTCTTTCCCCCACTCTGGACATTCCACAGATATATAAACCCCACTTACCTAGTTTTCAACAGACCTTCCAATCTCTGAGGATGCCTGCCATAGATGTGGGCGAACGTCAGGGGAGAATGCTTCTGGAATATGGGCATACGGCCCGGAAAACTCATAGCAACCCAGTGATTCCAGCCATGAAAGGGTTTGATAACACACTGTTTTATCTGCACATAAGGCTTGTGCAAATTTTGTGCAAAATAAGTCTTGAAATATGAAGTTTTAAGAACTCTGTAGTTTTCAAAGACTTTCTCACAGTGGGAACAAAATTGCTGAAATTACTCATTGCTTCCTTCAGAAATAAAATTTAGAGAATTACCTCCCTGCTGATTGTTGTCGGTGAGTGTAGGCAGCAACGCTCTAGTGATCCTGACTCTGCAAAGCAGCTTTCTAAACTATTGAAATTGCTTATTCTTTAGACATATATTTTATTGAACTGCAAAGCAGTGATAAAATGGAGGCTCTGAAAATAGTCCTGAAGTTTTGCAAGAGAAGCTATTGAAAGGGAAGTACTACATTAGACTTGGAGAGTTTTTGGTTTTCTTTCTCCTTTGTTTTTGATGGGAAACACGTTTTGCTTTAAAACTTTAAAAATCTCAAGGGTCGTCCCCCCCCCCCCCCAAGTGGGATTTATGAAGAAATTTGGAAATTCAGAAAGTAAATGAAATTATCTGCTCTTTTTGATTTCCAATATGGAGTCTGGAAAAAAGTGACAACTGTATTTCATAATTATAAATATGGCTGAACAAATAACACAGGAGCCACCTTCTAAACTCAGTAGTCAAAAACATTTGCCTGAATGGGTACATCTGTCAGTCTAACATCCATCCCAATCCGGTTCCCAACCTGTGGTCCATGGACCACCAGTGGTCTGCAAGAACTAAAATATGGTCTGTGGCCTCACCGTTACTACATCGTTGCAATAAGAGTAACTGGTCTCGCGAAACCGTCTTATAGTGCCGAGGCTTATTAAATATGGTTTTCTGCCCAGTGAAATCCTTTGTTTTTAACTGCTTGTTTTATATTGTTTGTGTCGTTTATTTTATTTCTTTGCATTTTATGTATTTTATTTTTTGGTATTGTTTGTGTTTCTATTATAATTTATGTACTGTACTGACGGGCGTGGCCTCATGTAAGCCGCACCGAGTCTTCCGGGGGGAGATGGAGCGGGATATAAATAAAGATTATTATTATTATTATTATTATTATTATTATTCTGTGGGCGAGCAGATGATGACTATGTTTTATAGTTGAGTAATGTAGAGGTTTAACAGTTGATGACAAAATTATGGATAGCGTGGAGGGAGATAAATTTCCCTGATTTGGACATAACACTATGTAATAAAATTTGAAAAAAAACCTGTTCTTAGTTTGAAAGTGTTATTTCTGGTTAATTATGCGGTACTTACTTTGAAAGTAGTTTTTATACCCCAGAAACTTTGTTTTTGTGACTGCCACAAACTATGTCAAATTGGTTGAGACTCACGCTCTCATCACACTTACCCCCCCCCCCCCAATATTACGGGCAGCCACCATAAATGTATTGAGAGTACGGCTACCATCAGACAACTTCCAGTCGTTGCTCCTGCTCCCCGTCACAGAACTACAGAGCAATCACAGTGAAATAATTGTGGATTTAGATAAAATAGCACTAAAATGGAGCCCTTGGTGGTGCAGTGGTTAAACCGCTGAGCTGCTGAGCTTGTTGATCGAAAGGTTGCAGGTTTGAATCCGGAGAGCGGCATAAGCTTCCGCTGTCAGCCCCAGCTTCTGCCAACCTAGCAGTTCAAAACATGCAAATGTGAGTAGATCAATA